ACTACACTAGTTGACTGCGTTCCTTTTTGAATTGCAGCTGTTCCCCTTTCAATAGCAGTGGTAAGAGAAAGTGGAGGAAGTTAGCCCCATTCAGAAAAATCACAAGAGTAGTAGTCCCACCGTTCACCTTCCTTTTTCCATGTAAAAGGTGGCATCTCTGTTAGATTCTAGGACTGTGGGGGTTGAGCATAGCTGTATTCCCAGAAGTGTTTGATCCCTTTGCATTTCTTCGACCAAAGCAAGCGGAGATTTCGAGCAATTCCCCCCCCCCCGGGGGGGGGTGTTTAACATACAGAGCTTGCCTTGTGTTCTCCATCCAGCTGAACTCCCTTAGTTTTGCATTTGGGAAAAGAGCAAAGCAATACCTTTGAGCCCACCCTTGTCATCTTAACCTACAAGGTCTCAAAATACCAGGTTTCATCCAGGATCCCTGCTCAAAGCCTTTCATCCCGCTGGCCTCTCACTTCCTCAGCCTCCTGACCACCTTCGTGATGGTCAGGCTGCTTGTTCCTGATTTCAGCCTCAAATCCTTTATCCACAGCCTGATTTTCTTGATCTAAAAGGTTCTAAAATGATAAGGGAGTAAATTTTTTCTTTTTATTTTATATTTATGTATTTATTTATTTTCGTGTCCATTTGTTTTGCCTGCATTTATGTCTATGTGAGGATGTTGGATCCCCTGAAATTGGGGTTACAGACAGTTGTGAGATGCCATGTGGGTGCTGGGAATTGAACCAGGGTCCTATGGGAGATCAGATAGCAAACTTAACCTCTGAGCCATCTTCTCCTTCTCTTCTCATCTTCCTCTCCCCACCTCTTTCTTTTCTTCTTCTCCTTCCCTCCCCCTCCCCTCTTCCCCTCCCCCTCTCACCTTCTTCTTCCTTCTCCTCCCTCCCCTCTCCTCCCCATCCTCCTCCTCCTTCTTCTTCATTTTAATAGAAAGAATCCCTAATGTTTTGTTGGAGTTTAAGGAGTTAGGACTTGTGTTGAATTCGATGAAACAACGGAAGCAACAGTGGCTCACATAGACATCTGTTCTGTTAAGTGACCCTGGCAGCAGGCCAGTTTAGCACTGGTAGGAGTCCACAGACACTCAGACCAGGCCTTCATAATGTTAGAGAAAAAGTTATTCACCAACACTGGTCAAAGTTGGGTAATGCAACTTTTATCAAGCCAGTGGTATAGTGACCACTGAGTCTGGGCCGTCCAAGAGTGAAGAGTGGATGCAATAATTATTACGGCCTTAGCAAGTGAGTACTTGTGAGGACATCCTTAGAAAATCAGGGAGAGGGGGCTGAAGAGATGGCTCAGTGCTCAAGAGCATTTGCTGTTCTTGCAGAGGACCCAGGTTTGGTTTCTCAGCTCCAGCACAGTACCTCCCAACCCCCTAGGACTTCAGGGGTTCAAGGCTCTCTCTTCTTGGCTCCGCAGGCTCCTGCATGCATATGGATGGAGCCTATAATAAACACATGGGCTCACACATTAAAATATTTTTTTTAAATCACTAAGAACACATCAGAGGATATCTATGCACGTTAAAGTAGGTATACTGTTGCTTTATTATGCTTTTGGTTCTAAAATTAAAAAAAAAAAAAACCTGATAAAGCTGTGATGGAAACACTTAGGACCACTAAGACAGAGAGACCATGAGTTTGAGACCAGCCTCCCATACAGAGATTCCAGCTTAGCAATACAAAACCAGAGCTCAGACCTGCAGTATGTAAAGTATGTATGTGGTATGCAACTCCCTCTTGATGATGATTCTACAGCTGGTTGAGAAAATAGTTTCTATATTTAGATATCTAAAGAGACAGCCGTGAGGGCTGGAGAGATAGCTCAGCGGTTAAGGTCACTGACTGCTCTTCCAGATGTCCTGAGTTCAATTCCTGGCAACCACATGGTGACTCACAACCATCTGTAATGGGATCTGATGCCCTCTTCTGGTGTGTCTGAAGACAGGTACAGTGTACTAATGTTCATAAAATAAATAAAACTTGGAGAGAGAGAGAGAGAGAGAGAGAGAGAGAGAGAGAGAGAGAGACCCATGAAGTGCTAGCTCCAGTAATTTGTTGCAGATCACTGAAGGGCAAGCCCGTCAGATTGTGGTATTTGCTTAGGTTTTAGATATTGAAAGTGACATTCTTATCTAATAAGGGGTGGGGAGGGAAGCAGGTGGTGGAGAAGTATCGATTCTTCAAAGTTCACCCACAAACACACAGAGAATTCTACAGGTTCCCCAATCCTGGCAATTCTGAGAGGTACTGGCAGCTGGAAGCCAGAAGGGTTTGCACAGGTTTCCCCAAGTGATTATAGATGGATCTCTGCCTCCGCTCACCTTTCCTCTGTGTCAAGAAACAATTGCCTAGCAGGAATTGCCACTAAATGTAATTGCACAAGTTTCATGGCTGCTTATAAGAAGTCTTTGTAAAGGTGGGTGCAGCTGATGTCATTTCTGATTCAGAAATAAAAGAGGTCAAGTTGTTTTCTCCAGTGTCTGGAGAAATGACCAGATATGGGGATGTTGTAGGCTTTGCCACAGCTCAAAAACATAACTATTACTTCATCTGGCAATGGTGAGTGAGGTTTTGTCTATTTTATACTTTGAATGAAAGCATCAGTGTTATTTGATACAAGCTTTTTGCCAAGTGCCAGCCTGTTGACGAGAGCATAGCCGTTTTCATTTGAAATGGCTGAAGCAGAATCATCTGTGCTTGAAACTTCTGGAAAAGAGTGTGTGGTGTTGCCAACCCCAGTTGGTGATGACTGTCACTTCTTGTCCTCTCCCATCTGCCATTAGGGAGCACCTGAGGTTCCACTACAGCTGGGGGTGCCACTGTGACAACCGTTACCAACAGCTACACAGCCTTTATCATCCCTCCTGCTACAGCTATGGCTCCACAGTGTATGGAAATGGGCCCGGTCCTCTGTGTGTGTCTGAGACCCCTGAACCGCTAGCTGGAGCAGGGGCCATTCCAGAGGTAACCCTTGTGGAAATCAATCTTTGTCATCTGTGTGCCTGATTATGTGATCATCATTCCCTTACCTTTTTTTTTCCACTCCTATTTTCTCTTTTTTTTAAACTAAGTTTGTTTCTCTATCTTATTTTTTAAGATTTATTTATTTTATGTATATGAGTACACTGTAGCTGTCTTCAGACACATCAGAAGAGAGCATCAGATCCTATTACAGATGGTTGTGAGCCACCATGTGGTTGCTGGGATTTGAACTCAGGACCTCTGGAAGTGTAGTCATTGCTCTTAACCACTGAGCCATCTCTCCAGCCCCTCTTCTTTTTTCTTTTTAAAAATTTTCTTTCTTTCTCCTTCTCTTTCTTTCTCTCTCTCTCTCTCTCTCTCTCTCTCTCTCTCTTTCTTTCTTTCTTTTTGAGGAGGGAGCAGTCAAATGATTTAAATTCTTTCTGACTCCTCTAGAAAGTGAAGTAATAGACTTATTAAATTGGCCTAAAAATTCTTGCTACTAAGTTTTAAATGGTCATTGGGAATAGATTTTTGCTGAGTCTTTAACTAGGATTGGAAAGAACTTTTAACTGGCTAAAGAAAGAGACATGAAGACCATTTAGAAAGATGTTTTAATACTGATCAGTGATATGTTTCTAAACCCCTTGAAAATGTGCCTACGCCTCTCCTCTCGCTCTCTCTCAGCTTGGTAGAAAGCACACTTGGAATGAATTTTGTCTTCTACATCTTTCTTCCACACACTCCTGCTAGCCACGTTGGTTGAGCTTTCTTTCTGCTGTGAAAAGGGATGGGATGATGACTTCTCTCTCCTTCTCCTTCTCCTTCTCCTTCTCTTTCTCTTTCTCCTTCTCCTCCTCCTCCTCCTCTTCCTCCTTCTCTTCTTCCTTCTCTTCTTTTTCTCCTCCTCCTCCTCCCCTTCTTCCTCCTCCTCCTCCCCCTCCCCCTCTTCCTCCTTCTTCTCTTCCTCCTCCTCCCTTCCTCCTAACCCTCCCCTCCTCCTCCTTCTCCTCCTCTTCTCCTTCTTCTTAATTACTTGCTTATACTTAAAGCTTATTTTTAAAGACCCTTCTTTAAAACTTACCCCTCTCTAGGACCTAGGGGCTGTAGCTCAGTGGTAGAGCTGATAGTGAGCATCAAAAGCCCACCACTCAAACCAAACTAATCAAACAAGCATCTTAAATATCCTTAAAATCTTAGTAGGCAGAGGGAGTAGACTCTCTGAGTTCTAAGCCAACCAGGGCTCCAGAGCAAGACCCTGTCTCAAACAGCTCAAACAGGCCTTTTTAGAGGAGTTCTAATGATTTCCCTCTTACTGAGTAGATCATAAATTAAATTAGAGAATTGGTAACCGTGGGTACCAACAAGGTATTTGTGTCACTGCTGTACCCTTACGGCTGTTGTGCCATGCTGGTTATTGTTGTGGTTCTTAAGCATCACACTGCGCCAGGTGGTAGTGGCACACGCCTTTAATCCCAGCACTTGGGAGGCAGAGGCAGGCAGATTTCTGAGTTCGAGAGTTTGAGGCTAGCCTGGTCTACAGAGTGAGTTCCAGGACAGCCAGGGCTACACAGAGAAACCCTGTCTCGAAAAAAAAACCAAAAAAACAAAAAACAAACAAACAAACAAAAAAAGCATTACACTGGGTAGGACCATTGCTTCCTTCCCTGCTTTGGAAGCTTGCATGGTGCCTTCTGGTATCATGAGAGCTCGTCCTCAGGGAGAGGCCATCCATCGATGTCAGTTCCAGCTCAGGGGCCTCTGGGCCCTGTGTCTGATGTGCATGCTCTCTTTGGCAATAGGACGTGTGTGTGTGTGTGTGTGTGTGTGTGTGTGTGTGTGTGTGTGTGATATACAATATGCATGTATACACATATGTATGTAACAACAATTAATGAAAAAAGAGGCCTTGAAAGAGAGAAAGGAAGGTGTATATGGTAGGATTTGGAGGGAGAAAGGGGAGGGGGAAATAGAATAATTATATCATAATCTCAAAAATATATAAAAAAAATTTTAGGTTGTTCACCAAAAACCTTTGTGAGTTGACCTTTCATTCCTCGCTGTGATGGGATTGCTGGCCTCTCTGGATTCTTCTCTGTGTGAGCAGCCAATCAAATAGTCAAAGAAAGCATGCATCTATTAATCATCAAGGGCAAACAGCTTCTAAAATGTTCACTGAGAATCAGGAGTGGCGGTGCACACCAGTTATCCTAGCACTTTCAGAGGCTGAGGCTGGAGGAACAGGAGTTGGGGCTAGCATGGGCTAGATAGGGGACCTTTGTCTTAAATGACTAAATAAATAAATAAATAAATAAATAAATAAATAAATAAATAAATGTTTGTTCACTGTGCCTGTGCCCCGTGTAGCTGTCCTGTGTCAACATTATCCTTTGTGGTGGTGTCCTCTTTGTTTAACCACAAAAATGATCAGGCAATGAGGAAAGTGGGCGGGGCTTTGGAGCAATAAGGCGTGGCTGTTCCCTTGAATTGTGCACCGTTATGCACAGTGATGAGGACCTCTTCTTAACACCAAAGCTGAACTCTATACTTGGGCCTTTAAAAAGTATATATATATATTTAATAATTTGTCCACATATATTACATTTTGACAATTTAATTTTCCATCCAAACAAATGTGATCTCTTAATACGCAAATGATTATTTCTTTATATAAACTAACTTGTTTCCTGCTCCTGCTCGTCTGGGTCTTCCTTTTCTCAGATGCTATGTTTATATCTTTGTAGAACACTCTCCTCTGAGGTTTGAATTCACACATTTGAAGACCTCCGCAGAGGGGAGACCCTCACTCAAGTCTCAGAAAGTGCGACCACCCAGTAATCTGCTCGAGACACCATGTACCGGAACAATAGTGAGGTTTATTAGGGCGTGACAGCTAGCTGCCGGTCAATTCGTATGCCCACCCAGGAGCTGAATTGACCCCGACAGCCAGTTTGAGAGGGGTTTTTAAAGGGAAAAACCACAAACCAAGGAATGGGGAGGGGGTGAGGGGTTGTTGAGGTGGCATAACATAAAAATAGTGGAACATTCCAAAGGAACCTAACCTACGTGAGTCAGGGTCAGGTAAAAACTCTATGCATACTTATCTTTCCTCAAGAAGGTGGTCCTGCCCTGTTACTTCGGCCTTGCCCTGTCACTGTGGTTCTCAGCTTGGTTCCACCTGGCTATTTTGCATTCTAGCCAGTTCCCATAACTAGTCTGTCCACATTCTTAACTTGCTTCATGGCTCGATTTCTCCATGTCTTTATAAAGAAAACCTAAAGAATATTTTATATGTCTAAAAAGGATTCTATATACCCAGTATCTATAATTTTTCACTCTACACATTATGTTCTTTTGCTCACCCTCCTCCCTGTTTGCTGATGGCTTGTTTATCTTTAAGGAGATAGCTGTAGGTGTTTGTATATTAACTTCAGAAACTACATTTTCTTTCCATTAATGAGAACATTAAAATAATAATAGATTCTTTCCCCCACCTTATTAACTCTTCCCTCTCATCTAACAATTTATTTTTATTTATTGTTGTTGTTATTGTTCAAGACAAGGTTTTCTTGTGTAGCTCTGACTGTCCTGGAACTCACTCTGTAGACCAGGCTGGCCTGAAACTCAGCTCTGCCTGCCTCTGCCTCCTGAGTGCTGAGATTACAGTCCTGAGCCACTATGCCCAGCAATTTCTATTTTTTTAGGTTTATTTTTTATTTTATGTGTTTGAGTATTTTTCTTGCATGAATGCCTGTGCATCACATGTGTGCCTGATACTCATGGAGGTCAGAGGAGGGTCTAAGGTCCCCTGGAACAAGATTTACAGATGGTTGTGAGCTGCCGTGTGGATGCTGGAAATCAGACGTCTCTTTTAAGGAGTACTGATGGTGGCTCCTGGCCAGGGACTGTCAAGTCACACAGATGCTATCTTTGCAGGAGTTTCTGCTTTCCAAACTCTTTAGAATTCACATTTATGAGAGTGAGACAGAAAAGGATAGAACGTGAAATCCCTTAAAGAAAAGTTGGTATTTAAGCTCAGATTCTGGTGCTGTCTCTATTTCTAACCAAAGAGAAAGAGAGAGAGACACACACAGAGAGAGACAGAGAGGCAGAGAGAGAGAGACAGGAGGAGAAGAGAAGATGAGAAGGGGGAGAGAGGAAAAGAGAAGAGAAAGAAGGAGAGAGAGAAGAAAAAGGTGAGAGAGGAGAAAGGAGAGAGGAGGAAGAGAGAGCAAGAGAGAAAGCTAGAGAGAGAAAAGGAGAAACACAGAGTTAAAGCGTAAGGAAGGATTGGTGTGATTACATTTGTTACTAAATTATTTATTTTTCAAACCAGGACATGTTTCTTAGTGGAGAGGATACTACCTTTAGGTAGACAATCTATCTTTCTTTTCCAATATTATCTACTTACTATCAAGAGAAGTTTAAGTTCAGTGGTGCTACAGGCTGAAGTAGCCTTTCCCGGGCATTCACCTCAGAATCGTAGTATTATCCTATTTAATCCTTCTACACAATATTCAGAATAAATTTGCTTTTTTTTTTTCCTCCCCAGGGACATTAAGTGGTTTTATATACCTTTTTAGAGCTACATTTTCTAACCTAAGAAAGAATGTCTGATGTTAAATCTTTGCATTTTCTTTTCTTTTCTTTTTTTCTTTTTTTTTTTTTTTTTTTGGTTTTTTGAGACAGGGTTTCTCTGTGTAGCCCCGGCTGTCCTGGAACTCACTCTGTAGACCAGGCTGGCCTCAAACTCAGAAATCTGCCTGCCTCTGCCTCCCAAGTGCTGGGATTAAAGGCGTGTGCCACCACTGCCCAGCTGCATTTTCTTTTCTTAAGACACATATTTTCTTTGTAGGAAATCACAGCCCCCGCTGAAAACCAAGCTGAAGACCTTCTAAGAGGTAATGTGAACCTTGAGCTTCAATGATGGGGGGTGGAGGAAACAATTTCTAGGTCTCTCATTCTCTCAAGTTGCTAGAAACGGAGAGGTCTGACTGGAAAATTTCATCACAGGTTGGTTATGCCGGTCTCTTTGGAGATTTGTCCCATCTGAGAAGATTGTTTCCATGGGGTCACCGTCAGCAGAGCCACCACTCTGGGCCTTTACAAAGCTTGGGGAATGGGGACCAAGTGGGAAGGAGATAATCATGCCATTTTCAAGATTGGTTTCCTCCATTAGCTTAGACATGGGAGATGCTACAGCTTAAGTGGGTACCCCGAAGTTCAAGTGCTGGAAACTTAACCCCAGCACAGTGTTGAGAGGCAGAACCTGAGATCCTGAGGTGAGAGATGACTAGATCCTGAGGCAGGGTCCCCTCAGGGGCACATTACTACTGTCCTTGTGTGAGTGGACTCAGGGCTGGCTCATCCCCTCCCATTGCTGCCTCTCTGTCCCATTCATCCCCCTACCCCGCCCCTGCTTTTAGCATCTCCAAACATCCTTAATCTTGGGCTTCTAGAACTTAAGTCAAATACATTTACCCATTACATGAATGTCAGCACAAATGGATTAAGGATTAAATATGCCTCAATTTTGAGTGTGAGAGGGCGGTGATGGGTCACAGGACCTTTGCCACACACAAATTTTATTTTTTTTAAAGAGAAAAAACAGGAGGTAGCTGCTATAGCTCTGGTTTTCTGGTTCTCCACTAGGCCACTGATTACTGGGGACCCAACAGGTGGCTCACCAGTGATAGGCAGGAGATATTTTCTAGAGTGTGCATTTGTTCTGAAAACAACAAAGTTGGGCCCACAGAACATTTTTGAATGTGTCTTATTTGAGGAGGAGTAGAACACTTTGTCACAGAAAGGAGAAAGGTACAGACCGAGAAATTGGCATCCTTGCCTGCTGGTACTGGAAAGGAGGTGGAGAAACAGCCATCATTGTAGGGAGAATCTCTTGGGCACTATGTCAAAGTATCACCTGTCAATAAAAAGGCAATGGCCAATGAGCTGAGACAAGATTAGAAGGTGGGTCATGGGGGGGGAATTCTGGGAAATAGGCGCAGAAGATTTGCCTTGGATGCTTTAGGAGCCAGTTGCATAAAGCTGAGGAGAGGTAACCAACAAGGTGAAGGGACTTAGTATAAATGGACCGTTACATGAGGAGATAGTCAGGGAACAAGCCAAGGCTTTTGGCCTAACATTTATTCATATGTATATTTATTCATATATAAGAAGTCTCATAGTCATTATTTCAGGGAACAAAGAGGCCGACTGGAAAAGCTTGTGGTTACAAATGGCGTCCAGGGCCATTTGTAACCGCAGGCTACGTCACCTGTGCCCAGTTCCAGAAATAAGGACTCTGAGACTTAATATTTCATGAATAAATACTTAGGCCAAAAGCTTTAGCTTATTCCCCAACTAGCTCATAACTTAATTACCCATTTATTTTATTCTTAAGTCCTGCCAGGTGGTTGGTTACCTCTCCTCAGTTTCAGAAATGTGACCCTTTCCTTCCACACTGGCTAATCTTAGGTACCTATTTCCCAGAATCCTCTCTCTCTCTCTCTCTCTCTCTCTCTCTCTCTCTCTCTCTCTCTGCCAGATGTCCCACCTTCTTTTCTTGCCTCAGCTCATTGGCCATAGGCTTTTTACTGACAGGTGATGCTTCCAATCAGTACAAGAGATTCTCTCCAGCCACTCCTGGTCCTCTTCTACTGAATCTTGGCTAGGCAGGTAGGTCCATGCCAGCCTTTGTTATTCTAATAAACGGAGCAGGTGGTGTGTTTTTGTAGCTCTGGTAGCCATCATGGAATTTGCATGCTAGTTGTTTTCCCTTCTTAAGAGATTTGAAGTTGACATTTAAATGAAATCTTTGTGTTAGTCAGTTGTTCTAGATATTAGTTCTTAGATTTACATAGGAATGAAGATGCTGACTTCAGCTTTCAGCTCTTGGGATTTCTTTTGGGTTAAAATGTGAGCCTGCTCTTCCTGCCTTCATGAGGTATGCATGCAATAAGAATATGCAGCAATCATGTATGTATGATCATGTATATCATCAATATACTTGTGAGGCAGAAAAACCATGTGTTTGAGGCTAGCCTGGACTACATAAGAGCACTGTTTCCAGAAACCAAAACAGTAACACCCCTCAAATATCTCATTTCCCAATACAGACAATCAGGATTCAAATCCTATCTACTAGCCCTACTATGCCAGACAGATTAATACCCAGTTGGTTTCCTTCTGTAAAGTCAACGGTCATATCTAGCTCAAAGGCTATGTGAATGTAACATCCAAAGAGCTCCCTCGTGTCCTAACAGCATCTGGCATGCAATAACCACGCAAGAGGGTAGCTATGCCACAGATCCAGAGAAGTGTGGCTCACTACAAATGCAACACAAAGCACCAGCCACTAGAGAAAATGAGTTTAAATTTCTAGTAGGAGAACTAAAGAGAAAATCGAAGAGACTGGGTACTTGGGTAGTCACTGTTTTCCATGTGATATTCCCAGTGTGCATGGATACAGCCGTCCATCTGGGCACCTGTGAGTCTCCCTGCCACACATTTAATAGGCTTACTCATCAGACTCTTGACCACAGGTTACAGGAGGAAGAGGGAGTGTTCGTACTTAAGTGTGTCATTGTACCATTTCTCCTCCAACCACAACGTGTAAACAAAACAAGACAAACCCCCAAAACTGTCCTTAATGGCACAGGAAAGATACCTGAATCTGAATTTAAGAAAAAAAAAATTCAGGTTAGGGGGAAAACAAAACAAAAACAAAAAAAAACCCCACAATCTTAGGGTGTTGTTTTGTTTTGTTTGTTTGTTTGTTGTTTGTTTTTTACATAGCCCTGGCTAGCCTGGACCTCATTATGTAGATCAGGCTGGCCTCAAACTTCCAAAGATGCCCCTGCCTCTATCTCATAAGTGCTGGAACAAGAAGGCTTTGCTACCTCACCCAGATTGGAAGATGTGATCTTTATGGCCATAAATTCTCAAGAGAAAGACAGTGTAAAACACTAAGTGTCAGACTATACAGCACTGATGCATTTGATTTCAGAGTAATTAGTATGAAAGGGAACTATATGGGTCTGCTAGGACTGCTGTAATAAAATGCTGCAGACTTGGGTGGTTTTGACAGAAGCCGCCTTCTTCCCTGATTTCTCAGCCCCCCGACCATGTACACAGATCTAGAGACTGGAAGTTCCACGCTGGGGCTCTGGCAAAAGCTCTCTTCCCAGCATGTAGATGATGCTCTCCTGGATGCCCTCACATGATCTCCTGTCAGTGCTGATACTAAAAGTGAAGATGTAGGCTCAGTCATCATCTCACTTAAGGGCATCAATCCCTTCAGACTGGGACCCCACCTTTTCATCCCCTCTAACGCTGATACTGCCCCAGGGGCCCAGCTCCAAAGACTATCAAAATGAGCCTAAGACTTCAGTATATGAAACTTGGGGAGGGACACAGCATTCAGTCTCTGACAGTGTTACCAAGGACTATAAGCCCATGGGAGGCAAATTATGGTCTTGGATGCATTTAGACTTGCAAAAATTATAGAGGAGAGCGACAGGCTTCTTTAGTTACATTTAGTTCAAGGAGGAAAAAATGGATTTGCATTTTTTTTTTAAATGACCTTGGCACTTTGGGACTCTCAGGATGCCTGACCACTTGGGCACAACTCCTCGATGATATCACCTCCTTGTCTTGGGTTCCAGGCTTCAGAAAGAGGCGGCCAGGTTCTCCTCTGATTTAGTTGACACATTAAGTTTACAGAAGTCTGTTTGGTAAGCAGCCAAAGCAATGTGCTTTTTTTTTCTTTCCAGAGCTCTGTCCTTGGAGCCCCGTCTTGGCTCACTGTTTACAAGACATTCACCTGGGTTCTCAGGGTAGCAGCTTGAGTCTCAGTCTTGACTTTTCCCTTTCATCCCCATTCATCCCCCAACACCTTTGGCTTTCTGTCTTCCTCCGTCTCCTCTAATCCTCAAGATACCGGCCAAGCCCAGTGATGCCACTTTGACAGTTTGAATTGCAGACTTCAAGTCTTAGTGGAAGGAAACAATTAGTTTTCCCCAAATATCTTTTATCATCTTTTTTTTTTGGGTGGGGAGGGTTTGAGACAGGGTTTCTCTGTGTAGTTCTGGCTGTCCTGGAACTCACTCTGTAGACCAGGCTGGCCTCAAACTCAGAAATCCACCTGCTTCTGCCTCCCAAGTGCTGGGATTAAAGGCGTGCACCACCACTGCCTGGCTTCTTTTATCATCTTAATTTTTTATGTGTATACTCATTGTGCATGGGAGTATGTCATGTAAGGACATGTCCACATGAGTGCATATTATACACTGAGCATGTTCCCCAAAATTTTGTTTGTAAGTCTGTAATACATACATACATACATACATACATACATACATACATACATATGGCTGGTGCTTGTTACAGTACCTAGCTTTCAGCCATTACCAGTAGGTGTTGGTACATCTATTTTTCTCATGTCTGTGATTGGCTTCTGCAGACCCAAACCTTCCTTTGAACATTGAAGAATCAAACAAGGAGTTCATGGCAGAAAGTGAAGAGCTGTATGACTCCCTGATGAACTGCCGCTGGCAGCCTCTGGACACTGTTCTGTGTAGCAGCCCAGAGGAGCCCCCCCAGTGTGAAGCAAGTATGCGCGATGCCCTCCAACTGCCATGTTAATTGGATCTTGCTTTGGTTTGGGAGAAGAAAATCCCAGAAACTTATTAGATTCTGAATGTATAATGAATTGTCCCCTCTTCCCCCTGGTACTAGGAGATGAAGCCCAAGGCCTTGTATATGTTAGATAAGCACTCTATAACTGAACTATGTCCCAGCCCTCAGGAACTGTAAATATAAACTTCTGGGACTTCAGTGAGATTAGCATGGTGGAATATGATGTAAATTAAATAAAGATCACTAGCGCAGCCATCCCAGGAAGTGTGTTCTCTTCAGTCAGTTCCAGAAGAATCCGCATGATTGAAGGCAGAAGTCACAAGATGACATTGGGAGATAGATTTTACAGAGACGGATGTGAGCTCAAGGTTGGTGGCCTTAGCTTCTGTGTTTTGCGCACTTCCTGTAACAGTAAACCCTCGTGGAAAGAACCAGATGCAGATGGGATGTAAAATTTCTCAGTGGTATCTTGTCTGGCAAATGTCAATTAGAACTAGATGCTCGGTCTCCACTGACCCTCAGGCTCTGTTTAAGGAAGCTGGTTTAAGAGTAGAAGACAGCAGAGAGCCACTCAGCTGAACAAAAAAGATTCCTAAGAATGGACAAAGTTCACCTCATCCACACAGCCTGATGATTTTTCTATGATCAAGGAATCGGGACTTTTAGCCAGTTGTGAAGCTTCAGTGTATTTATGAAGTGAGAAGTGAGGTAGTTGGAGAGATGGCTCAGTGGTTAAGAACAATGGCTACTCTTCCAGAGGCCCTGGGTTCAATTCCCAGTACCTATATGACAACTCATAACCATTTATAATGTAATTCCAGTTCCAGGGGGATCTGAAGCCCTCTTTTGGCTTCTGTGGGTACTAGGCATATGTGTGATGCTACATACAGGAAAACATACATATACATAAAACAATAAGGTGTAAAAACTTAAATAGGTGTTACTGGGGTTGTGCTTTGGTGTATTACTTTGTCTCAAATAGACACTTAAGAGAGACCCCCCTGGGCTACATTCATGGACTTGCAGGATAAAAGCATATAAAAAGCATATGCTTAGGAGAATTAACCAGACCATAAGCAATGAGACTGGACATTGCCTCCTTTTCAAAGGTACTTAACTCATGCTAAATTTCATACTGCACAGGTCTTTGAAAGACTCACAGAAAACCTGCAGGGCTCTAGCTGCTGCAAACCAAGGCAGGGGTGGGGCTTCCCAGTCCCACTGAGTCATCATTTGCCATTTGAGCCCAGACTTTTCTTCCCAGAAGGATTATCTCGAACATGTTTCTGACCTCTGGCATAAGATGCCCATAGCACTGTTGTATTATAGTACGACTAAAATGTCCCCAGACATAGCCAAATGTCCCCCAGGGGTGAAATGATGCCCTCATATAACATGACCAGAATAGAACACTGATTATCAGGCTCCAGGAGGGTGTATTTAGACCAAAGCAGAAAGCTTGCTTTAGGATTTGGCAGTAAAATGAAAAAGACACAGACACAAATCAGCAGGGCAAAAAAAAAAAAAAATGTAAATTTAGTCAAGTTATTCTTTGTTAGAGAAATGACCACAAATCCATACCGCTTACATATTTGTTTTAAAGGAACAACCAATTTAACCTCATTTACATCCATTTTGTACATAAATAAAAAGGAGGGCCGAGATGTAGCTCAGTCAGAAACATACTTACCTACCACGTATAAAGCAGGACTTGATCTTCAACACTCTGTAAACTGGGGATGAAGCCACATACCTCCATCCCAGCACTGGTCATGGAGGGGAAACAAGGCAACAGACTCTTGGCTGCTGCTGCTTAGGTTGCTTTGGGTTTTGGAGACATGGACTCAGTACACAGCCCCAGGTGGTCTCAATCTCATGATCTTTTTGCCTTGGCCTCCCAAGTGCTTGAAAGACAGAATTTTTTAAGTGTGGCTAAATGAAACTAGAACAGGAGATTCCTTTTATTTCCCTCTTGGTTTTTTGAGTCTTACATTGTAGCCCAAGCTGCCCTGGAACTCCAGGCTGGCCTGGAGCTGGAAGCATCCTCATCCCTCCTAAGTGTTGGTTGGGATTATGGGTATGAAGCCACTCGCCCGGATCCAGACAAATACTATAGGCCATGCTGTCTTTCTACCATGGATTCAGCTTTGCTCTTAAACAAAAGATGACTGAGAACACAAAGAGACAGTTGAGCCAGGCTATGTTCTAGTAAAACTTCACTTACATAAGCAGGTCAGATTTAGCTCAAAAGACAGAAAGCCTCGGTGGCCAGAGAGGCTCCCTCTGAAGGCAGCAACCAGACAGTAGCAACAGACTATGGGAAGTGATGGTCTTAGCCAATAGAAACATACTGTGGCTGGAGACAAAGACAAAAGCCAAGTATTCCATGATTCTATGAGGAGAGGGCAAGGAAGGGAGAGAGAGAGAGAGAGATTGATTAACCACAGCACATGTGCACATAGCATTGATATTGTGAACACCACCAGTATGGAGTAAAGAGGGTCTCTGAGATCTGACTGATTACATTATGAGTCTTGAATTGTTAGGTCTACCAAGTCCTTGGACCTTACAGGGAGTCTTTTTGTTGCAAGGATCTATCTCTTTTTTTTTTTTTTTTTTTTTTTTTTTTGGTGAAAACTCCTACCTTGGAAACAGATTGGGCATAGATTACCAACTGTGGATGTCATTGTCCTGTCTGTAATGTTTCTGTGTGAGTGGAGAGAGGAAACAGAAGCTTTCTCATCCAACATGATTGATGACCATGGCCTGAAAAACTGCTTTTCTTTTTTTTTAGGATGGATATGTTTTGTCTTCATTTAGAAAGAGGAAATCATCAAAACAATAGGATAGAATCCTGAGTATCTGATAAAGCAAATTTAGGAAGGTTCTGGGTATGGAAGGTGGTGATAATTACATAATAACATGTGTATTAAAACTATTTAAATGTATCTTAAAATGATTAACATGGTAAATTTTACATATATATATACTGTAATTTGGGTTTCAGCAGAAGATCCCTAGGCTGTTCGTGTGTACTACTCAGCCTCAGGCATCAGTCGGCACTTTCTCTGTAGTTTAGACTGTCCTCTGAGCTGAACACAAACACTATGATGGTAATAAGTAAATATATGTCTTTGAGTTTTTGTGATCCAGGTTGGCCCAGTCCCAAAAATGTAGTTTACAGAACACATGAGTTCTATAGAGATGAAGAGAACAAAATAGAGACAGTGGCTCTGTGTTCAAATTCATCCAAGGACGGCTGTGTGTTTTCTCTCTCCGGGTTTTCTGATGAAGGGCTTGAGCAATGCATCATTTGTAAGCGTTTCCCAAATGGACCATCGTCTAAGTCCCTTTACCTGTCACACCTTGCACTGAAGATGTGTTCTGCAAAGGGGCGGGATGTTGACTGTGGCTGACACAACATTAAGTTGTGTGTAGAAAGAAGGCTAGAGTAGAAATCCCTCCAGCAATGTGGCAGGGCCACGGCGTCCAGGCAGCGTTGTGGTTCCTAATAATGCACTTCAATACACTTTGAAACATCACAATTCCAAAACTGTATGCAGAGAAAACTTCAGGCCTTCATTGTTGATTGAGAGGAAAGTAGCCTAGAGACATGTACGTAGTCATTTGAGTTTCATGGGCTTGACAGTGGAAAAGAAAGCAATCATTAGTATGTAATATAGTAGCCACCTTGGTTTTTTTTTTTTTCCTTTAACTAAAACTTTCAATCTCTGTTCCTATCATTTCACATTTAAATATGGCATTTTAATATAAAAATACAATGGGATGTAGGCTGGCTGTGGATGCACTCAGTGGTAGACGGGGTACTTAGCGTGCTGTCGAGGCCCTGGGTCCAATCCCCAGTACCAAACAAATCATATTTAAAAAGAACATATGAAGTTGGCAAGATGCCTCAGCAGGTAAATGAACTTTGCCACCAAGCCTGACAGCCCGAGTTAACCCCTAGACCCCACAGGATAGAGGGAGAGAATCACTTCCCAAAAGTTGTACATTCCCCAGAACCAAGGCAGAAGGGAAAAAAAGACTTAGTCTCCTAACAATATACATCCTTCATACTTCAGAAATAACATTTTGTGAAAGCCTTACCTCATTCTGCCAAAGGTTTAGGTTGCAGTTTGAATGTTAAATGTCCCCAGCCAGTTCATTTGCTTGAACATTTGATCCCAGTCCAATTGGTGGCACTATTTCAGAATCTCCTGGAACCTTAAGGAAGTCAATCTTTGTTAGAAGAATGGCTCACTGGGAGTTGGCTTGAGGTTGAAAGATAAGACTTATTTCATGTGCTGTCTACTTTCTGCTTCCTGACTGAAGAGCCATTGTGACCGGCTGCTTCCTGATCCCACGGCTGCCTCCTGATCCCACTACATACCTTCCCTACCGTGACAGACTGTCTCATCAAACAATAAGACAGAATAAATCCTTCCTCCTTTAAATGACCTCTTGTCTGGTATTTACTCACAGCAACAAGAAAAACCACTGATACACCCATAAGAATGACATCTTAGGCCAGTGCTTCTGACCTACCAAGCTGTGGAAAATGCTGATAGCAAAGAATTAGTTCTTGGGCTAGCACAGAGGAGGGAGAAAGGGAAGATTTCTCCACATGCTGTTCTCTGAAAGTCTCAGAGCAAGGCAAGACCAACTTGCTCATGTGAGTCACAAATGAAACATTTAGACCCATCTGTGCACTAAGATGAAACAGTTCTAGTATTCACCTATATATTCTCTTCAGTGTAGAGACAGGAGCTTGCTCTATAGCCCAGGCTAGCCTCTAACTGGGCATCCTTCTGTTTCTACCCACAAGTACTGTTACCTGTACACTTTAAAATCATCTTGGAGTCACTAAGAATTCTGTGTAAATAGTCACCACCCTGTCTGGTTCAGGGAACAATGACCAGAAGTCTGGCCGTGGTCAGTCTAGACAAAATATTTTTTTTCCTTGAATATTTCCTGTCTGTAGCTGGCTGACTCTACAATGTGGATGT